GCCACTGCTGCAGGAGGGCAGGCAGCCGCTCTCAGCACCCAGCCAGGCTTCAACCGGGGAGAACAGGGCGAGCAGACCTTTGCATGAGCAATCTTTGCAATGGCACATTGTTTCCTGCAAAAGTATGGCCAAGGGGAGCGGGGGCACGGCCAGCACCCCAGACCCCCGGGCTCGTGAGCACGGGCCAGCCCCATGCAGATCTCCTGCAGCACGGCCCCCTGCTCCTCCTCCCTGCAGGTCAGAAATCACTGCTGAGCTGCAGAAATCTGGGACAGAAAGCCACACTGCTCCTGGCATCCCCACACACACCGGGGACTCTGTCACCGGAGGCTCTCTGGAGCCTGGCTTTTTCCTGTCCCCGCCGCTGCCAGCAGCTCTTTGCGAGTGCAGACACCCGGGTGGGCTTCCAGCGCTCTCAGCAGCCAGCGGCTCTCCAGCACATGGGGCCCTGCAGGATCCGGACGCACTGGTGGGAGATGCCCACCCACCGCACCTCAGCCCACAGAGATGCTGAGCCTCTCCCAGAGCCGACTGACAGCAGCAGGGACCTTCCTGGCCCCTCTGACACCACCTTTGCGGTGGCCAAGGAGAGAGGGGCCACATGCTGGGACACCCCCACCCCAGGAGCTCCCCCATCACCACAGCCAAGCACCAGCCGGCCCCGCCACGGAGCCGGCGCCAGTTCACGTACCTTCCTGTGGCCCGAGAACAGCAGGGTGAGCTGGTGGATGGAGCCGCCGTTTTTAGCCAGCTCCTTCTTGAGGGTCCTGGGGGAGGGCAGTGCCCAGTGCTCCTTGGTGCCCTGGCTGTCGGATGGAGCAGTTGAGGGTGGTGTCGGAGGTGAAGCAGTGGCTCTTGGTCTCCTGCAGCAGGCTGCCCTCGCTGTGGGTCCGGCGCCGCAGGGAGCTCTGCACGCTCAGCGTGTAGACAGGCTGGCAGCCCGACGTCTCGATCATGCTGCTGCGCTTCACCTCGTTCCTTTCCAAGTAGTGCTCGTCGCTGTCCTCCTCTTCATCCTCCTCATCCTCATCTTCCTCCTCATCCTCCTCCTCCTCGTCCTCA